ATATTAATAAAATTCAGTTTTTAAAAAAGATTTTGAAAACAAACACATGTTTGATATCATTTCAGTCTTTCGAACAGGAATAAGAAATCTTGTCATAGACGACGAAACTACCTCAAGCTTGAGAGTCAAATGGGACATTTCGGACTACAATGTTCGTCAGTTCAGGGTGACATACCTCACCGCTGATGGGGATCGGGGTGAGGAAGCGGTAAGAATGGTTGGTTTGAATTTTCTATATGGCTCAGCTTGGAGTCTTAGTTTTCATAACAAGGAGGCAAATGACTTATCCTACAATGGCTAAATGCTAGCAGACGCCCTGAGATATACCTCACACATAATTATGCTTGTGTGGCTTGTGAGTTTATAGATACAGTGGTACCTTGGGTTACATACGCTTCAGGTTACAGACTCCCCTAACCCAGAAATAGTGCTTCAGGTTAAGAACTTTGCTTCAGGATAAGAACAGAAATCGTGCTTGCATGCTTACGATGTCATCAGCGCATGTAGTATTTTGCAGTTTCAACAGTGAAAAATTGGCAGGATAGCAAGGGACGAAGCAGCAAAAAATTGGCAGGATAGCAAGGGACAAAGGAGAGCAAGTACAGTTAAATTTGGGCCTTGCATGCACTATGAACTCAAAGCAGTATAAAAGGTAAAGGTAAAGGATCCCTGACAGTTAAGTCCAGTCGCGAACGACTCTGGGGTTGCGGCGCTCATCTCGCTTTACTGGCTGAGAGAGCCAACGTTTGTCCGCAGACAGTTTTTCCGGGTCATGTGGCCAGCATGACTAAGCTGCTTCTGGCGAAACCAGAGCAGCGCACGGAAACGTTGTTTACCTTACTGCTGGAGTGGTACCTATTTATCTACTTGCGCTTTGACATGCTTTCCAACTGCTAGGTTGGCAGGAGCAGGGACCGAGCAACGGGAGCTCACCCCGTCATGGGGATTTGAACTGCCGACCTTCTGATCGGCAAGCCCTAGGCTCAGTGGTTTAGACCACAGCGCCACCCGCGTCCCTCCTCAAATGCCACATTAAATGGTCATGGCTTCCCCCAAAGAATCTTGGGAACTGTAGTTTGTTAAAGGTGCTGAGAGCTACTCTCTACTCCCCTCCACAGACTTACATTTCTCAGAGTGGTTTAGCAACAGATCCCTCTTCCCAGGGAACTCCAAGGTGTCTTAACAACTCTCACCACCCTTAAGAAATTCCAGTTCCCAGGATTCTTTCGGAGGTTGCCATGACTGTTCCAAGTGGTTGATTCTGCTTTAAATGCAGATTGCAGAAGGGGGTCTGTTGCAATTGGGATATTGATTAATGGGTGAAGCCAAAGTTCTCATGGAAAGGTGGGTTTTTAAGAAGGGATTTGAGTGAAGAGAACAAGTACAGGATCAGGGAGTGAGTTCCAGGCCTAGAGGATCGCAACAGAGATCTCTGGAATTCCTTACATTACCTACCTGTAAGGCTTATGATATCTTTTTGTCTCCCCGGGAACAACTAAAAATGCTTCTCCTTTTGTAAAAACAGAGCAAATGATTTATTCTGAGTTGCAGATATACACTGGTACCTCGGGTTACAGATGCTTCAGGTTACATACGCTTCAGGTTACAGACTCCCCTAACCCAGAAATAGTAGCTCAGGTTAAGAACTTTGCTTCAGGATGAGAACAGAAATCATGCTTGGCAGCACGGCCGCAGTGGGAGGCCCCATTAGCTAAAGTGGTGCTTCAGGTTAAGAACAGTTTCAGGTTAAGAACGGACCTCCGGAACAAATTAAGTACTTAACCTGACGTACCACTGTAAAGGATTATTCGCTGCATTGAATAGTGCTTCATGTTTCTTCTTGCAGTCTGCCGTCTTAATCAGATCTCTATTTGTAGGAAGCTCTTGTTAATAAAAACGTCAAAAGGCAGGGGTGTTAATTGATGATCTCTCCCTTTTTGTTTCAGTTTCTTTTGGGTTTTATGAGGCTTTGGTAGAAAGCGTTTTTTTTAACAATAATAATAAAAAGCAGTTTGTCAAAGCAATGTGTGCTTCTCCCCGGGCTGTAAAAAAGTGTGCAAACTTCCAAAATCTTTTTTTGAGAAGTGTGTAAACAATGGTATATTGTATAATTAGCAGCATTTCATTATGTGAGATCCCAGCTGCAGTCTGAAGTGGTACAGTCCTGGGCTTGATTTAGCATCCCTGTGAGCTGGCTGTGGAGTGGGGTTGAGGAACCAGTAGCCTACCAGTTGTTCTTGGATTACAATTCCCACCATGCCTGACCATTGGCTGTTCTTGATGGGCTGATGGGAGATCAGAGTTCAACAAGATCTGGAGGTCCAAAGGTTGCCCCATCTGCAGTAGAGAATCTTCTGTCCAGCTTTTTTAAACAGTAGAAATGAGTTGTTCATGGATGACAACAGTTGCCATTTTTGTAAAGCTGAAATTTCTATTTGTTCCTGTCACGTGTGGCTTCAGACCAATGCGTTTGGTTCTAGAATGTGCTGCTGCTGCTCTCCAGATGTGTGATGTGGCCAGTTGTGCCAAGCCTCTGTGGCTTTTGCTGTGGTTACGCTGCACATTGCCAAGCCTTTTCATGAACGACATGAACCGAAAATCAGTTCCATAAAGTCACGAAGGCTGGAGCTTTGTTTTCTTCCCTTTGACGGTCGCACATGATATCGCTTAGCGCTCTTGCAACCTTTTAAAGCAGCCGGTTGGTTTTCTTAACTCCCTTCTTAACCTTCTTAACCTTCAGCAAACAATTCCATATTGTCTTGAAGGCCAATAAACCCAGTGAGCGTTTGCCATGGAATCTCTTGCATGTTGCAAAGGATTCTGGGCCATGCTCTAGACAAGTGCACATTCTGTTGACACAGGATGCTGGCAGTGCCTGTTCAGCCTCACTGTCACCCCTGCACGAAACAGAGAATAGGCCCCCAAAATGCATTGAAGCACCCCCCTTTGTCTGCCCATTACAGTGGTACCTTTAGTTATGAACTTAATTCGTTCCGGAGGTCCGTTCTTAACCTGCAACTGTTCTTAACTAGAGGCGTGCTTTTGCTAATGCGGCCTTTTGCTACCGCTGCGCCACCGACACACGATTTCCATTCTCATCCTGAGGCAAAGTTCTCAACTCGAGGTAACTCTTCCAGGTTAGCAGAGTTTGTAACGTGAAGCGTTGGTAACCTGAGGCGTTTGTAACTTGAGGTATCACTGTACATGTAAATGATGAGCAAGCTGTATTTCAGGGATGCTTATATGTCATTAATTATTCTTCCATCTATGTACCCTTGATAAGTTTCCAAGGAACCCTTATTTTCTCCTGGGACAGTTTGAAAACTATGGTTTTGAACAACCCCAACTGAAACTGCCTGCTTTGATCACAACATAAAGGTTGTTTGGAGCAATACTCCAAGACTCCTTTACCTTGTCTCTCGTCTTCTTGTCTCCCCTTCCCCCATTCAACTTTTTTAATCTGTGGACATTCTCTCCATCTCCACAGAGCCCTATTTTCAACTCTTCTATCTTTCCCTTTGATTCTGCCCTTCCAGCATATTCACAGAGCCAACAACTGACAACCTTTATGGACTATTGGGCGCATTTCAAGTTTTGAGGGAGTTATGGGGGTGCCAGTCACAAATTGGCTGCCATGGGGAGTGTGGGATAACACAAAAGCAGAGAGAATACCACTGTTGATAATGTTGTGCTTACCATAAGAAGTCAGCCATGACCTTCACATCCTGGTTATGGAGATCACACACCAACACACACACATCCAAACACAGAGTTGCTGTTGCTGCTGTCTAATTAAAGGACAAATAGCATTTGTCCTTTCAGGAAATATAGATAAGGTAGCCACACCACTGTTAATATATCACATAAAACGTTTATAAGTTGTCTGCCCGTTTAGCCCCATAGCTTTCTTTCTAGGAGGTCTAGAATCATAGACTCGTAAACTTGTAGAGTTGGAAGTGTGGGAATGTTAAGGAACGTAAGAGAGGATATATTGTTTTGATATTATCCCTCCTCACTCAAACTAGTGAGTAAATCTACCTGGACCCTGAGGTGAACCTACCCAGACCCTGAGAACATCTTCTGAGGCCCTCCTTCGTGTGCCTCCTCCTCAAGAGGTGCGGAGGGTGGCAACACGAAAATGGGCCTTCTCTGTAGTGGCTCCCCATCCGTGGAATGCTCTCCCCAGGGAAGTTCACCTGGCACCTTCATTATACACCTTTAGGCGCCGGGCAAAAACATTCCTTTTTAACCAGGCCTTGGCCTGACTTCATCTACATCCCTATACCCTTTTAAAAATGCTGGCTCCTTTGGGGGGGGGGCGTTATTGGGTGGTTGTTTTTGTTTTGATTTTATGTATTCGATATTTTATGTGAACTGCCCTGAGACCTTCAGATATAGGGCGGTATAGAAGTTAAATAAATAAATAAATAAAATAAACAGCAGAGCACATTCCCTTCGCAACGTATTTGGAAGCAAGTTTGGTGATTCGTTAGAATCCTTTAATTGAGCAATCCAGTCTGGATTGTTCCTGGCAAGTTTCCCCTTTTATTTCCCTCTTAAAATAATAATAACACAACACATAAAGTTTTACTCGCGTTCGGTTTTCAGCAGTAATCTGAAGGCAGGCTTTATCTTGTGGTGACAGTGAAAAGAAGTCTGAGCTTATATCTCAGACTTTCTGCTCATAGGCTCCATCCTATGTGAGGGTTGAGCCATGTGCTGGCTAAGAGCCAGGAGAGCAAGAGTCCAAGAAGCCAAGAGGCCAAGAGAGAGATGGTTGCTTGGCCAGCCCTTTTATCTGGTCAGCTAGGGTCACATCCATCTACCTGGTCACCTACAGAGGGAGGAAGCTCCAAAGCAGGTATGGCAAGAAGTCTCCCCTGGCTGGAGCCACGCTCCCCTGGGTGTCCATTCTAGGCAACAGGAAAATGTTGTACTTGACTGCTCTAGTAATAACATAGCCCACAGGATCATCTAGTCATCATACAGGAATATGCAGCTATTGCATACAGATATCAAACCTGCAACCTTGGCGTTATCAGCACCACACTCTAACCGACTGCGCTATCCAGTCTAGTCTGGACTTACTTTTTTATTTTAATGAAAGCTCAGGACCTGGGGACCCTTCCCAGGGCACCACTGAATGTTACTATCTACATCGTGCATGCCTTCGTGCATAATAATCTTGCATGTGTCGCAGTTAAACTCAGAAGTCATGGCCTGCATCTGTTTCTAAGAGATGGACATATGACAAACCTTCATCCTGGAGAAGAGTGACTAGTGGGGTGCCACAGGGTTCTGTCTTGGGCCCGGTCTTATTCAACATCTTTATCAACGACTTGGATGATGGACTCAATGGCATCCTGATCAAATTTGCAGATGACACCAAACTGGGAGGGGTGGACAGGATCACACTTCAAAACGACCTTGACAGATTAGAGAACTAGGCAAAAACAAACAAGATGAATTTTAACAGGGAGAAATGTAAAGTATTGCACTTGGGCAAAAAAATGAGAGGCACAAATACAAGATGGGGACACCTGGCTTGAGAGCAGTACATGTGAAAAGGATCTAGGAGTCTTGGTTGACCACAAACTTGACATGAGCCAACAGTGTGACGCGGCAGCTAAAAAGCCAATGCAATTCTGGGCCTCATCAATAGGAGTATAGCATCTAGATCAAGGGAAGTAATAGTGCCACTGTATTCTGCTCTGGTCAGACCTCACCTGGAGTACTGTGTCCAGTTCTGGGCACCACAGTTCAAGAAGGACACTGACAAACTGGAACGTGTCCAGAGGAGGGCAACCAAAATGGTCAAAGGCCTGGAAACGATGCCTTATGAGGAACGGCTAAGGGAGCTGGGCATGTTTAGCCTGGAGAAGAGGAGGTTAAGGGGTGATATGATAGCCATGTTCAAATATATAAAAGGATGTCACATAGAGGAGGGAGAAAGGTTGTTTTCTGCTGCTCCAGAGAAGCGGACACGGAGCAATGGATCCAAACTACAAGAAAGAAGATTCCACCTAAACATTAGGAAGAACTTCCTGACAGTAAGAGCTGTTCGACAGTGGAATTTGCTGCCAAGGAGTGTGGTGGAGTCTCTTTCTTTGGAGGTCTTTAAGCAGAGGCTTGACAACCATATGTCAGGAGTGCTCTGATGGTGTTTCCTGCTTGGCAGGGGGTTGGACTCGATGGCCTTTGTGGTCTCTTCCAATTCTATGATTCTATGAAACCCACATAGTATCGGCATTTTCACGTTGGAGAGTGTACATGGATGTACATGCCTTTTCTTTTTCTAGAACCTAGCCCACCGGTGCTGAGGAGGTTTAATCACCTAAAGTGGCTCAAGAAGCTCTGAAACAGATGCAAAACACAGAGGTTAATCATAGATCTTTTTTGTTTTGTTTCCCCTGACCAGGTAATGGTCCCTGCAAGGCAAAACAGTTTGCTTCTTCAGCCTTTGCTCTCGGACACTGAATATAAAGTTATGGTTACCCCCATCTATTCTGACGGGGAAGGTGTCAGTCTGTCAGCTCCAGGGAAAACATGTGAGTACAAAGGCTTCTCTTCCTGCAAAAGTCGTAATATAAGCAACTGTCCCTTTTTTAAGCAAGCGCTGTTTCTCCGGGATGTACTGAGAACCATTTCATTTGTAATACGTTTTCATTTTGCAGTGCCCCTGTTTGCTCCTCAAAATCTCAGGGTCTCTGACGAATGGTACAACCGATTGCGGATTAGCTGGGATGCCCCGCCATCTCCCACAATGGGATACAGGATTGTATATAAACCTGTGAACAGTGAGTGTCTAAAATGGTTGCTTATGTAGTTTATTTCAATGTGGGGTAAATATGTTAAATCAGGTGTGTGAATGCAACTCGCCTAGGTATAGTTCTCACAAGATAAGGTGGGAAACCTGTGTTACAATAATTCCTTCCTGAGAAGATCCCACTTTCAGTCTGACTGTCCATGGAAAAGAATTCCTGGCCATAAAAAACTAGCATTTCTGGAAGATGTTGGACTAGAGCGCTTCTTCCTAACATGCTAGCTTTCTGCATGCAGGGATTTTTATTTTTTATAACGGGGGAGCATTCAGTCATGCAAATTCCCAACTGCAGTCCAGACAGAGGTATACCATCTTATCTACTGTCAACTAGACCAAGGTTATTTATGCTCAAGTCACTCATGACAAATGAGAATTGCCTTTAAGAAACTAGCAGTGTGTGTGTGTGTGTGTGTGTGTGTCTGTTTTGTAAACTGGAATAAAGTGGGTTAGAAAAATATTTCATTTTAAGAATGAGCATGATTTTATGTGATCAGAAGCTAGTAATGAAATTTCACAGTGTCTTCAAGCTGTGTTTCCCTGCCTAAGTCATTTATATTCCTCTCGCTTCTTGCAGTCCCTGGACCAGCCCTGGAGACGTTTGTGGGAGATGATATCAGCACCATCCTTATTTTGAATTTGCTCAGTGGAACCGAATACAGCGTTAAAGTATTTGCTTCCTACTCAACGGGATTCAGCGATGCTTTAGCTGGCGTAGCCAAAACATGTAAGAGACCTCAACTTCTTGTTATCCAATTTCTAATCTCCATGGACCATATTTCATTGGTAACCTTAGCCTTGAACAGAATCTCGAACTCAACCACTTTTCTTTTGCGCTGTTCCTAAAGGAAATGCTTTTGCTTGCTCTTCTGCATGAAGTTCTTACTTCAAGTTTAAGGTACATAAAAAGTAAAGCGCACAGAACAAACAAGGCAGACAAGTGTTGAGAAAACCCAAATTTTAAATCAACGACAAGTAGGTTCTGCATCTAAAGAAATGACGAATGTTTTTTATCCCTGTATTCCATTTCAGTGTACTTGGGAGTGACAAATCCGAGTGCTTATCAAGTCCGCATGACAAGTATCTGTGCTCAGTGGCAACTTCAAAGACATGCAACAGCATACAGGGTTGTGATCGAATCAGCTCTTGGTAAGTCATAAGGACATAGCATCAGTGTGATGCCATAACATCTGTCAACTACTAAGATACTATGTTGCTTGATTCATGATTAATATCCGCTTACCATATTATAGTGAAACTTAAACAAAGATTAACTCTCATGAATGTGACCCACCTTGCACAGAACGTGAGGATTCCCAAAGAAAAGATCATGAAGAATGTACTCTTCCCACAGTCCTCCTTGGTTATGGCTTTTGGTTTGTCTGGAATGAAACAAACCATAGTCCCGGGTTCAGATAAAATGTTAAGTCAAACCATGGCTTAGCTCACAGCAGTGCGGCGGCAGCAGGACTGGAGAACAAGAAAAGCAGTTGTGTGTCGAGGTCCCCAAGCCACCCCAATAAAACACAATTCACACAGAATTTTTTGTAAGGTTTTTGGCATAATTTTGGCCACAACTTTATTAAAATACAGAAAATGTGAGTGGTTGCTTAGGCATTGGGTGAGACTATCTGTCCCCGCCCGGGGACAGACTGACATTCGCACGCCCGCGAAAGTCAGAAAGGGGAAACATTTTGGGGAGAAAGATGGAGCTGGGAACCATGCCCTCACCTCTCCCCAAATGCTCCCAGGGGCTCTTGCGTGGCCCTAGCCCCTTGACAGGGGTTCGGACAAAAGCATGGCAAGCCCCTGGATTCCTTTAACGGAATACCCTTGCAGCAACAGCATTGGAGGGGCAGGCACAGCCGATCCATGCCCCTCCACCAACCAATTAATAAAAACCAATGCCTAACTGCAACCTTACAAGTTCTGATGATTTGCTACGTAGTAGGCAAAAACCAAATGGCCCCAGCCAATCAGCCAAATGGACAAAATTCCTACCAGGCCCCTGCCCCAAAAGGAGACGACCCCATGACAGGCATAGCAAGGTCAATGCGAACAACCCTAAATATAGGGAGGGTGGGCAGGTAATCCGATGCGTGCAGAGAAATGAGGAATCTCAATGCTGCACGCAGGGAAAATAAAACTTCTTGGCTGTCAATCATAAAATGGCAACATCAAATTCTCCCCAACCACAAGGGGAGCCCAATCGCAAGGGTGGCCAACTACCTTTACCCATCCTGCAATAGTGGGATGTCTTGTAAGACCCCTTGGCAACATGTGCTCTCCATGAAGGAGAACATGCTTTGCGTTCTCTCCCGGAGCATGTGCGCTTGCACATTCTTGCTAAGTAATAGTTTGGTTTAGCATTACCAGCTAATAGAATCCAGCTCAAAGTGTCGTCTTCTTCTTCTTCTTCTTCTTCTTCTTCTTCTTCTTCTTCTTCTTCGCTGTGCTTCACTTCATTGTGTTACCTTTATTTTAGACCAAAGTCCTAATCTTTAAACAGCTCCATTTCTAATTTCAGATGGGACACAGGGGGAAGCATTACTTGGCGGAGGAACTCCTCGGCATTGCTTCTTTGAACTCGTTCCTGGTACAGAATACAAAATCAGCATCCATACGCAGCTTCAAGAAATAGAGGGGCCTGCTGTTAGCATAATGGAGACCACTTGTAAGTATACATCCCATTGGAATTCGGTTCATTTTGCTGTCATCAGACATAGGCACTAAGACCTCCTTCGCACCTGGTTTCCTAAACTTGGCACCGTTATCTGATACATTTGCATCAGGGACTCCGTGGCTGGAGGCAAGCGCCTCCGGACTTGAGGATAGAGTCTAGCTTAAGAGGCTACCTGGGAATTTGCGTGGCTAGGCCTCAAAGACAGAGCCTTCTTCAGACACAGAAGGATGCATCACTGACCTCTGTGATTGGTAGGCCACATGTAGCCTCTGGATTGGCTAGGCCTGGTATAGGCACAAGGAACTTGGCTTTTTGACTTATGCCTAGTCAGCATAGCAGGATCTTTCCCTGGTTACACCCCAAGCCTTCAGTTCCAATACTGGACATCAGAAACTGCCTTTTACCAGGACTGTCCATTCATCCATCCATCTGGCTGAGTGTTGTCTGGCAGAACTTGTCCATGGTTTCAGATGGGGGGACATGGTTTTCCTACCTAGGGACTGACCCTTGGACCACTGCGCATGCAAAGCAGATGCTCTACTACAGCCTTTCTCAACCTTGGGTCCA